TACTACTACTACTACTACAGTACTACTACTACTACTACTACTACTACTACTACTACTACCACTACCACTACCACCTACCACTACCACTACCACTACCACTACCACTACCACTACCACTACCACTACCACCTACCACTACCACTACTTCTACTCCCCCTGTTCGGTCTCAGGCTCATGGTGTCCGGTCCAGAGAGCCGCCGCGTCCTGGCGCAGCTGGATGGCGACGAGACAAACTGGTCCAAGGACCGAACCCCAGCATGCTGTGGAGGCTTCTTGGATTGGGGTTCAGGATTTGAGTAGGATGTTGAAGGGCTTGTAGGATGCTAGTGAGTTTAGGAATGATGTTTGGTTGTTGGTGTGGGGCTGAGGGGTCAGGAGTTTGGTGTATTTTGGCTCTTTGTTTGGCAGGCCAAAGGACCCGATTCCGGGAGGGCGGCATCAATTCGTGCGGATTGGTTTTGGGAGAGGGCATCAATTCGTATGGATTGGGTTTGGGAGGGGGATTCAACGCATGCAGATTGGTTTTGGGAGGAGGAATCAATTCGTGCGGATTGGTTTTGGAAGGGGAAATCAACTCGCATGGATTGGTCAGATTGGTCTTGGGAGGGTGAATCAGTTCTCACACATTGACTTCGGGAGGAGGAATCAATTCCTACGGATAGGTTTTGGGAGAGGGAATCAATTCGTGCAGATTGGTGTGGGAGGGGGAATCAATGCGTTTCAACTCGTTTCGGATTTATTTTGGGAGGGGGAATCATTTCGCATGGATCGGTCAGATTGGTCTTGGCAGGAGGAATCGATTCGTGCCGATTGTTTTTGGGAGGAGGAATCGATTCGAACGCGTTGACTTCGGGAGGGGGAATCAATTTGTATGGATTGGTTTCGGAGGGGGGACTCAACTTGCATGGGAGGAATCAACTCGGGCAGATTGTTCTCGGGAACACAACAATTTTCGTACGGAGGGAGGGGGAATCAATTCGTGCGGATTTTTGTGCGGGAAGCGACGGAGGCTTCTTGGATTAGGGTTTCGGGTTTGTGTAGGATGTTATGTAGTGAGTTTAGGAGTGATGTTTGGTTGTTGGTGTGAGGCTGAGGGGGCAGGAGTTTGGTGTATTTTGGCTCTTTGCTTGGCAGGCCAAAGCTTAGGCCGTTCCGGCAGGCGTTGACTGCTCGGCTTTCAGGGAAGGGCACAGATTTACAGAATCTCCAAAGCACCATGCTTTGCATCGGCAGGAGAACTTCAAGTTCTACGCCTGGAAGCAGGTGGAGCTTGCTGGCATCCCCTGCCTGGGCCCTGAGTAAATGGGTCTGCTGGAAGTCCGGACTGGGTCCTGAGGCCTAAGATGCCCTTTGGAGAAATGGAGTAATTAACGACCATCCTGAAACGTGAGGTTTTGATTCAAGACTGCTTCGCAGGGTGGTTAATGTGTGTGTGTGTGTGGGTGTGCGCTTGTTTTTCGTGTCGTTGTGGTCTTCGTGAAGTTGACTGCTGGAGGGGTAGACAAGCCTTCATGATGGTCCATGAACTTGTTTTTCTTGCCGATGTGTCGGATGTGGGACCTGGGTGTTACCACGGATGGTGTCCAACTGTGCCGGCACGATGTTTTTCGCCAAGCTGTCCCCAACGTTGATGTAACAAGGTGTGCTAGGTCTAGGCTGGACAGTAAAATTACGAATGAATGCAGCGGAGTTCCTGGTCATGCAGTTTCATCATGTCAGCCAACTATCCCAGAACACGCCTATGCAGCAAATCAAGTTATATCCCGTAGGATGTAACGTGAGCGCAGCATCTGCATGTTGTGAGTGTTCGTCGTGCGATGATGATATGGAAAAGCTGTCCCCCAAGCGCAGCTCGCGGTGGTCTGCAAGCAGCTCGCACGCTACACATGCGTCGCCACGGCATGCTTCACCGCGAGTGTCGACCTTCCTGGACGGAGGGGCAGAAGCGGAGCGACCGGCTTGGCTTCCGTCTGAGGGACCTGGGAATCGCCACGTGCCACCTGAGATGTGGGCGATGTCAGCAACCCAATTCCACGGGTTTCTTGCTGCCTGCAAGGCCACCAGTTTCTACGACGAGCTACTACAGAGGACGGACGGTAAAATGAACATGTACGACGTTTGTGATGCCTTCGTCAAGCCTTGGACGACTGGCACGGGGAACAGTGTCGCCCTGCTGCTGAACAACCAGCAGCCATTACCAGTGGAGTTGATGATCTCACACGCCTGGGCAGAGGAGATCGATGAATGCGCTGAGGCACTCATGTTGTACTTCGTGCGCTTCAACATCTTGGAGAACACAGCTTGCTGGTTCTGTGTGTTCGCGAATTATCAGCCAGGCGACTGTTTCACTGTCCAGGAGCAGATTGCACTTGATCCATTTGCTAAGGTCTTAGCGGCCATTAACCAGCTGGGCTGTGAGCAGGGTTTCGACGATGCGCGCCGAGGGATGGTCGTGATACACACATCGACTTCAGAAGTCTATGAACGTCTCTGGTGTGTCTTCGAAATCGGGAAGGCCTCCCTCGAGGGTGTTCCAACCAGAGCCGCGTCGTCCTACGCCTACGTTGTCGCTCAGACGGGGAAAAGCAAGGAAAGCCTCAGAGTGCTGACGGAAAATGCCAGGTGCTCAGTGCGCGAGGACGAGCAGCGGATTCGTGAGCTGTTGGTCAGCGAATTCGGGGGTGCTGAGATGCTGAACAGCACGATCTGGGAGTTCCGCATGGCGATGATGAACCAGATGGGCTATGAGCTCCGCTCTGGAGGATGGTATGCCGTTCCCAACATGAGCTTTTTCCGCAAAGGCAAGAACGCTTCAACCGACCTTGTTCAGCTCCAGGCAGCGAGCTTGCGAGCGTTGTCTGACGGTGAATACAGCAAAACTTGCTGCTCGAGTAGTCAGAACATGAGCAACAGGCAATCCGACATTCCAAAGACTCGGCAAGTTTGCCTGACCCACGAGTGTCCCCTCCAAATCCCGAAGCCCCATCCCGACAGGCTGACACCCTGAACCCTAAACCCGAAACCCTAAACCCGAAACCCTAAACCCGAAACCCTAAACCCTACCTTCTCCAAACTCCCCCCACCCCCCCGCCCGAAGCATTTCAGCTGCTGACTCAGGCCGGGCGCTGCGCGTCAGCTTTACCGGAGAGTTGGGTCTTGGCCCCGGCACCAGGTCATAGGTCTTCGACTCTGAGAGTGTGAAGGGACTCCGGGTTGAAGGTGTAATACAGAAGTCTAAGTTTACCAATCTTGTTCGTTATGGCTCCTTATTGCAATTTTACCATAAAGGGACCCAAAACCCTATTCTAATTATGAAGGCCCCTTCATTAGAGGGTCTGAGGCTGGGTCTGAGGTTAGAGTTCATGGAGGGATGCATGGAGGGAGGGAAGAGGAAGGGGGAGCTTGAATTCATTGGACTGGTTTTCCCAGGAAGGAAGGAGGGAAACAAGGAAGCCTGAATGAACCTTTTCACATGAGATGTCATCTCGAACGAGGCAGAATTTCAAATCTTAGCTTCCCGAAGTAAGGCTCGAGTTGAGGTGTCCGGCTCATACTGAGCCCACATTTCGGGTAGTGGGAGTCCTTGCGACCGAATTGTCTCAGAGCCATGACCCCGTGAATGAATAATTTGTAGAGCTCAGTCGAGTCGCCTTAGCCTGAGCTCCTACAACTTCGAAGCCACAGCAGTGTTCGGCATCATGGCGCTACGCCGTTGTGTTACAATCTAAAAATATGATATAGGATGATAATCAGTATACTATCGTACAATATTTTATTATAAGCTATGTTATCTTATGATGTGATATGATATGATATGACATGATATGATATGATCATGTGGTCTGATCTGATATGATCACATGACGAAGCATAATATCATATGAGCATAATACAATGTGAGATGATGTAAGCCCGAAGCGGCAAGGTTGGGAGCTCCATCCAGCCACCGGCGATGTCGCCCCGCTGTGCCCGGTCTTTCAGGTTCAGCGGCATGTGATTTTGGGCTGAGGCGCGGATTCGAAATCGTCGTTTTTAACATCATCGAGCTGCACCTATCTTCTATTGCAAGAATTAGGAATGTTGAGCATTCTCAGCTGTAGTTCTTGCCGCACTGGGTAGCTGTCAAGCCAAGCGTCCAAGCGTCTGTTGCTGAATCTGGGTTTCTTTGCACTTTGCTTCCGGGGAGGACTCAACCGAAACCCGAATGCTTAGTGCATAACCGCAAAACCAGCAGTCTCACAGTAGGTTGGAGCGAAATCATACATGCAAGTTCAGTCGATGCACCCGGAGTGTTTCTTCTCTGATGATGTTGATTTCAAACCGAGGTACTGGGCGCTGAAAGCTGCGGAGCCGCGCTTGAATGCACCTGCGGCAGCAGGGAGAGGTTTTGCAGTCGATGTAGTTTTCGGGTTTTGGGTTTGTAGGGTTTAGGGTTTTGGATGTGGGAAGGCTTGCAATCGAGATTGCATCTGGCCGAAGCGTAGATCCTCAAATCTATCATCTAATGCCCTTTGCTGAGGCTGGAAGCTTTCTCCACGAGCCTCCCGAAACCGAAGTCCACAAACACCCCAAACCCTAAACCCTAAACCCCTAAACCCTAAACCCCTAACAACTTCGACGGGGCCCAGGACTGGGGAGGCTACGCCATGGGCTCCTTCCGCTGGGTGCTCAGGCAACGGGAGGGCCAGAGCTCGACAGGTTCTTGCGGCTTGAGGGTTTAGGGTTTAGGGTCCCTAAACCCTAAACCCTGTGGGGTTTATGAGATTGAAGGCTTAGGACTTTGGGTTTCAGGTTTTGTGCTTTCTAGGCTTGCGAGGTGCTTTGGCTACGCCTGTCATGAAAGGATACAGTCGCAGAATTGCCGTGCCAAGAGGAGACCGCACTGTAGAAGCCAGAATCATTCGCACACTATGCCATATGGTTCCTTATTATAACGACACTATCATACTATAATACTATAATGTACCCCCTATGTATGGTTCCTTGTTATAACGACAAATATAATGCTACAATGTACCCCCTATATTGGTCGGAAGTTTTGGAGCGCAAGCCCTGTCCTGGTTCCTGTAAGTCTAGACCTCCCAAGATGGCTTCCAGCTTCAAGATCCGAACAATGTAGGGGCCTCAATAATTAGAATAGGGGTTTTGGGGTATATTGCACTACAACTATATTCAGGAGCCCCCAAAACCCTATTGAAATTATTATTAAGACCCCGACATCATGCCTTGTGAGCCCCAAGACCCCTCCTTTGGGAGGATCCTTCGTAGGGCTACTCTTCACTGCTGCTTCTCTTCATGGGCATGCGACAGAGTTACTTGGTTAGTATACCTAAACCCTAACCCCTAAACCCTAAACCCTAAACCCTAAACCCTAAGCCCTAAACCCTAAACCCCAAACCCCAAACCCCAAACCCCACACCCCAAACCCTAAACCCCAAACCCCAAACCCTAAACCCCAAACCCCAAACCCTAAACCCGCAGTTCCTACTTCTTGCACCTGGGGCCCTGGCGTGGTCGGCATGCAGCATCAAGTAAAGC